TTATGCGCCCCACCTACCTCTAATTTGAACACCCCTGGTCGAACAATAGCAGGTAAAGATAAAAAGAGATAGATCAATAAAAGGCGAAACAAGTGAGTGAGAGAGTGAATTGTCGTTTGAATGAAATTTGGGTCTCGTTCTCGTAAGGCATGCAGGCAGCTTTAGCTATTTTAAACAGTTCATCTTGTAACGTTACCTAATTTGCACGTTGAATACGCTCACCATTTTTTTCGTCGTTATGCCTTCTACGATAGACTCATTGTCTGCTCGTGAAGTAGCTGACATTCATTACATTTACGGGTTTTGTGATGGCAACGCTCGCGCCGCCTCTCGAGAGTATCATCAGCGATTCCCGACAAGACCTGCCGTTGACTACAGGGTTTTCTTAGCAGTACATCGAGAATTAAGTGAAAATGGACTGCATCGCCCACATCGTGAACGTGCTTCTACTGTACCGGTGGATGTGGATGAACAAGTGTTGCGTTTGGTGTACCAAGACCCCATAATTAGTACTCGACGAATAGCACTCCAATTGGGGATTAATCACGTCCAAGTGTGGAAAATTTTGAAAAAGGAATGTTTGTACCCTTTTCATTTTCGAAGAGTGCAGAATTTGCACGAGCCAGATTACGTCGGAAGAAGTGTTTTCTGTTCGTGGCTATTGCGGCAAAGACGATTAGTCCCGAAATTCTGTGACCGTATTTTGTGGACCGATGAGGCAAATTTTAACAGAACTGGAATCACAAATTTTCGAAACCTTCACTTGTGGATGCCGGAGGAAAAAAATCCCTTAGCAGTTCGGCCAGCGTCCTTTCAAATCGAATTTTCGATTAATGTTTGGGCTGGAATGATAAGTGATTACTTAATCGGACCATTTATTCTTCCGTCAAGGTTGACAGGCCCAGCTTACCTAACATTTCTACAAGAAGAGTTACCTGACCTGATGAGTGATGTGGATCTACAAACAAAGAGGAAGATGTGGTTTCAGCATGACGGCGCTCCAGCTCACTTCAGCACCATCGTGCGTGATTATTTAAACGAACTATACGGAGACAGATGGATTGGACGAGGCGGACCAGTAGCGTGGCCGGCACGAAGCCCTGATATGACCCCCCTAGATTTTTTTTGTGGGGCCACATGAAACAGATTGTGTACAGTACTCCAATTAGTACAAGAGAAGAATTGTTACAAAAAGTAATGGCTGCGGCTAGTCAAATAAAAGAAAATCGTACTGTATTAAAAAAAACAGTACGCAGTGTGGCATTACGTACAACTGTATGTATGGATGAAAATGGTGGTCATTTTGAAAATTTAATAAATTAAATCATTTTTCTACGGTTTCTTTTGTTTTATTCCATAATTTTGACAATTAAATCATTATTAAATCACTTTTGAATTTTGTGCTCAGATTACCTACCTTATTTTTAGTGATTATCTTAACAACGAAAAAAGATAGAACGCATGTTATTTTAGAGAACTTATACAGTAAGCTACGTAGTTTAATAAAACATGCTAAAAAGGTTATCTCAACGTACTAGTTTTGAAGTTACAGACCAAAAATTAAAAAGAAAAGTATTTTTTTAACAAAAAAAATTATCTTATTATTTTTTTGACAAATTTCCTGCTTGATATCGTAGGTTTTTTTAATTTTTATTGCTAGTTAATCTTTCTAACTTTCAAATAAAACTACTTTGAAAAAAATACACCGTTTACTTAAAGAGAAAATAATTTAAAACCGAAGGATGGGAATTTTAACAAAAACAAAATTCAAATGCTTTTATTTTTTAAACAGTTTACATAAAAAAAATTTTTTTCGATTTTTTACCGATAATTTTTTATCTAGTATCCGCACATTTCGTTTGATCAAGTGTAAAATTAACACATTGTATAAAGTAAGTTTATGTATAATTATGATTTATATATAAAAATGTCAGCTCTCACGTCCCTTTGTAACGTTTTGCAACCTATTTTAAATATTAAACTTAAAGGATAAAAATAGATTGAATCTTTAAATATGTTAATAAGCTAATAACGAAAACCTAATATTTCATTAAATTTTAAATAAGATTGATTTAATAAGTTAGTTACTAGTATTTTATTATTATTATTTAGAAAATAATTCTCGTTACTTATGCGACTTGAATATTTGCAAAGCTCTACCATTTCATACGCAATTTGGCTAGTGAACACAGATCGGCAATGATTTAATCATTATCCCTTGATTTCAAGATAAACTAACTTGATCACTCGAATAATTCTTGTCCTGTTTTATTTTTATTTTATGACATATAGTATAATAATAAAAATAAATATATAAACAAAAATAAATACATCGATGTCGTATTATTAATGTTAATAACATCACTATAGATTAAAGACGTTATGCCTTGTAAAATAACGTCATACGTAATTCTATTACATATATGAAATTTTTGTACATAGTAAATCAGTAGATACAAGTATATTTACTTTCATTTTCGACATAATATACAGGGTTATTTTGCAATAACCGGCCAAATTTGCAGAGTAGGTTCAGAATAAGCAATATAATGGTGAAGAAAAATTTATTTAAAAAAATCCAAAACATTCTGTCCTTTTTATCTTTTAAATTCAAAATGTGTGGTAATGCATTATTTTAACTGATTTTACTGCGCACGCACACATTCGGAAGGGTCGATCGGTAGGCAAAAACGTTGTTGCCCATATACTCGTATCACATTCAGTTTGGGAGAATTTCAAATAAAAGTAGAAGCCTTATTTAATCGTATTTTCAAAAACTGCAATAACGATATATAGTTTATTTATATATTTGAACTTAAGTTCAAAATTTGGCTACTCTTTGAAAAGTAGCCCTATGTAGAGACCAAAGGTAACCACTTAACATTTCCAATGACACGCATGATTTACATGCAACATCTTTAAATAGGTTTGTATCTTTTTGCCTTATTTAAAATTGAATTAAAAATGCTGAAGACTAATCGTCTATTAAACTGTTGCACAAAACATCTTGTGACTAATAACACCTAATAGCACAGAATAAATAATAGTACAAAAACTAATAGCTAATAGTTAATGCTTCTTATAGGTATTAACTTAATGAAATTTCACTTTTAAAGCTACACTAAACGTCATTAGTCTGTAACCAACCACCAACCAGCAACTATATTGATAGTTCTGATACTTTAATTTAGTGGGTCAAGCAATAACCTTTAAACTATCTACTTAAACGTTTAAAACTTACTTTGCCTTTTATTTCTTTTAACTTTACTTAATACTTTAAAATGTATTTAGGAAATACTGTTCTATAAGAGCAAACCAAATTGTTAATCTATTTGAATTATAATATGTAGATGTAGGTTACTTTATCTAAGAACATTTTATGACCTTATCTTTTCTACTTATAATATCTGTTACCTGTAAAAGTATCTAAATGTTATTTTATCTGTAAACATAATTTATACACATAATTATGTATTATAGTCTTTTAGATTTTTAGCGTAGTATGATTAAATAAGCATGAGAGCAGTCTAGTGCTATTCTATTTTTCTCTTTAACTTTTATTGTGTAGGTAGTTTTTAATTCCATATTATAGTGTTTTTATAATTATTTTAGAACAAAATTCAACTCCTTGCCATTATTCATTACATTAGTAATTTAATCTATCAAGTTTCAACAGATAATATTGTAAGTAGTAATTCATTTTATCCTATATCAAAAATTTCCAAATTACCTAAATAGAGCAGAACTATAACAGACTACTGGAAAATGAAACCATATCAAATTGTTAACACTAACAAATAAATCATTAGCAAAAGTTTGTCTTTATTGTTAGTAATGTTTTAATCAGAATTGCCATATTGTAAAGATCTATCCACTGAAGCGCAGAGGCGGTACGAGTTCATCAGTGAAACCACTTAAGTGGGCACCAGTACCTTAAATCTGACCGCAGAGTGTTCATTAATTTCGATGATCATTTAATCCGTCAAAGTACCACTACACTACGAGCGACTCGAGTGTACTGCAGGCGATAATTCTCAACATCATGCATTATAATTAAGTGGAGCATATTTTGAACTGAATATTTAACAAGAAAAATATTTATAAAGCCAATAATTCTTAACATTAAGAGGTTAAATTAAAACAGCTGTTGTGTAATACCGCTTCAGTTATGATATTTTTGTTTAACACACTTACTCTTTGTTTGACTTACGCTTTTGTGAAATCAACAAAAAGATTAAGTGTTATTTATGATGGCCGTACAGCTATAAGCCAGTAAATTGTCGCTGTTGACTTATATGTATTATATTTTAATAAACAAAACTGTTGCCCATCACCTATTTAATTTGCCTCTGTTACCACTTAAGACCCCACGCGATGATGAGTAAGTGGATATTTTACGACGGCTCTACACGGCAAATACACCAGAAAGCAATTTTAAATGAATTTATGGATACATATAAATATAACTAATTAGAATAACATACCTAATAATTTTAACCAGTTCTTTTATCAAGATTGCAGAAAGGTATATTGCACCCGTTATCTTTATTGTACATTTCGAATCTACTCATATAAATCGTGCTGGTGATAAATAGCAACAAAATTAATCTACGATGTAAAAATATCTGATGGGGGAACATGCCATTTATATTTCAAAAGATATTTATTTATGATATTGTTTAGGAAAGATAAAAATATGAATATGAAGATAAAAATATGTTAAATTAAAAAATATTAAATTTATCGTGTACTCGCAGATTTCCCATCAACACATTTTTCTGGCAAATAACTTTTTCTCTAAGGCAAACCACCAGCCTTTACAAGTCCACTGCTAGACATAGACCTATTTTAGAACAAACAATGGATGACATACATTGAAAAATCCGTACATACGCCCACGGTGAGCATTTCGATTATATTGTATTGAAAATAAGATTTTTTTGTTTTAATTTTCATAATATTACCATTCATTTAATTTAGATCTATATCCTTGTCCATAGGTGTTGTCACTTGGCGCGACAGGCGGTCACAAGGGGACCACACAACCATCGCACCCCTGGACAATCCTCCACCATTCTCCTTACAAGGTAAGCGATGCAATACCATAAGATGGTAATGCGCAAGCCCGCTAAGCTAAATAGAAGCCAGTAATTTTTATATTACAGACAGACACTTCAATATTATCTACATGTGTATACATAGACTTAAAATATACTGGTGTAGTATAAATTCTAAGTCTATGATGTGTGTATGTCTATGTATAGTTAAATGGTTTGCATAGAGACGGCAATATGACATTTGTATTTAATATCAAATAATTTTTCCTTTAGAATATTTTCTTTTGCCGACGTCAGAAAGGCATTCATAATAATGATTTCTTATATCCACGCGAACACTATACATTTAAATAAAACTAATTTACGGATTTTATCGCGTATATTAATTTTATAATTATATTAATTCTGTGAACACGTACAGGATCGCCCCCGTCACTACATTAGATTTGATAGACCACAAATCCTCGCTAAAGAACACCGATTCATTCCAAGGATGATTCGCGAGGCTATTGAAATCAAAAAACATCCTAATTTCAATAGAGAAGATGGCTGGGTGCCATCACCATCTGCTTGGGATCCCATAATTAATAAAATTAAATCCCAACGCATGCATACAACTGCAAGACTTCAAGATACTATAAGTTCATACTGCGTAGATCGGAACAAAAATTAATAATTTTTAATCTGGAGGTAGCCGTGGTTAACTATGACATTGGGACGTCATACACATCAGTCCCCCCGTGACCATGGGTGCTGTAAAGTGCTCGAAACGTCGGGAATATAAAATAAGTTAATATACGCGATAAAATTCGTAAAATTAGTTTTATTTAAAGGCATTCATAATATTTTGAACTAGAATATTATGAAAAAAGTAGGTATATTGTTATATAAAAGACAATTAAGCAATAATTAATATGAACAATACCTTGGGCGTGTTCCATCACATAATTTCGTATCTAATCATTGGTTTAAATAAATGCTCGTGGCCAGTAACTTTTGGTTTTATTGGATTGTAGGTTTTAAAAAAATTTCATTAAGAATCAGCACCAAGTACATGTTTGATAAGGATTATCAGTAACCACATCAGAATGATGCAAACATCAAAATGCTTACGTTGAAGTATTGATTATACTATCATAATATTATAATTTCCATATTAGATGTATACTTAATATACTGTCGCCTAAAAATATCCGCAATATCAAAGTAATTGCAGGTACGTTGCAGATCTTTTAAAAAGAAGTACAGTCTTTTCCTGAAAGTCCGTAGGTGAAATTGCTGGTGACAGTCAAAATAACAGTGCAAATAAAACAACTTCAATAACTGGTAACAGTAAATTCCACAATGTGGTCGTTTTGGGGTAAGAAACGCACGATTGTAAATTGCGAACCATCGAGATTATGTGGGTGGAACTAAGTATTTTTCCGCAGTGTATGATGGTGAAATTTTCAGGTAGGAATTAGTCTGAACAATTCCTCAAGAGCATTCCTCGTAGTAACGACGATAAAAATATAAAGAATTCCAATTTCTTTTCGCAAGGTCAGTGAATCGTGCCGAACAGAAAGAACTCGATCGTCGACAATTTGAGTCGCCTTTCTCGCTGCCCGAGTATTCTATGTGAGGCCGAACCTACGCTTTAATAATTTGAAAGCGGTGGGCCAATATGAAATACTGTATAGCTCTACTTAGCACCTCAAGCTTCTTAAAGGTCAAGCCTTCTTCTAGGTGATCACGGAGCTGGGCTTCAATTAATAAGTCCGCGCCAAGGATGGACAAGGGGGTTGGAATGAAAATGAAATTTACAACGAAGAGGTTCTTTTTTAGCGGTAAACGTGATTTGAACCTGGAGACTGAATTGGACTAAATTAATTGAGTACTGTATAATAGTATTAAGCTCGAATTCAGATAGAAGTTTGTGGAATGTGCTCAGCCGTTGTATGTTTTAGATTTTTTGGGATGTGCTAAAAGAAATATGAGTACGGAAAAATGGTGTCTAGGTTACAATCCAGCCAAATTTTCAATGGTGTTCAGGGATAGGACGGCTTCGTGAAGAGTTCCGGCCTCAAGCTAGATATCAGTGGCTCCACACACGCACACGAGCAATTACCAGCGTCCACGCGATACCACTCTCTGCTTTACCGTATGCAGTTTTGTAAACAGATCACTCGCGCATCACCGGAATATGCTCAATAAGCAATAATATATTCATAACAGTTATGTAACTTGTAATCGAAGCATGCTCTGTCCACAACAACCTTAAAGCTTCAATGTACAAGAATCTACAAGAAAGTGACCCAACTGCATAATTTCTAGGAAACCCCATAAAAAAGAAGCTTCGGAAGCAAACAGAGGGACTAAAAGATCGGCTTTCTTCTTTCTACTCCCGCTGCAAAGATTAAAGGAAAGCGAACTAGTCTCTCGCCAACTCTGCGGATGTGCTCTGACTTTGACTCTTTAGTACCTTATAACACTTTTAAAGGATCCAGAGGCAGATTGTACTTACTTCTATTTAAGAGTGCTGATGTTTAAATCCTGGAAGACCGATACATCAACGCAGGCGTGTTAACTCTCCTGCTTATGGCGTAATACAAATTTACAGGAGCGATCAAACCAAAGAGGGGTCTACTTTCGATTGGCAAATTTAATTGACATGACAAAGAAAAAATAATAATAACAAGAGATAAGAAATTACAAGAATTTGTGTGAAGTTAAATTAGGACAATATTTCAGCTAACTGCTACTGTACTAAATGACAGCTGAGCTCATTTCCAAATAGAGCCCAATATTGACCTCACGGATGGACATACATTACCTTAACCATGAATATAAAACATTCAGAAGAGCGAGTGGAGGATAAATCAGCATACAAAATATTATTTGGAAATATATTGTATATCCGATTGAACATACACATACATGATATTATACATATGTTCAACCACATGTGTATATACTACCACAGGCGTAACTAGGGTGGGGCAAGTAGGGCACAGGCACTGGGCGCTTCCAAAGGGAGTGCAAGATCACCAATTATTAAATTTAAAAATCTAAATAAAACACAATAAACCAATTCATATCAAATAATCTTTTAGACGAATTCCGCGCTTCGCGAATTACTGAAAGGGAATGAGTAGTGCGCGCAGGTAGTGCCCTTACACGTTCGAATTCAACACGAATTTATAACTCGAGCTGAAAGTTTTCTGGGCTTTGCATTAAAGCACGAGGGGGACAGAGTGTTGACTTCATTAGACGTGACCTCTCCAACTTTACGTTTAGGTTCAGTGTGCCTCTCACCGTTCAGTGATCGCTGCCAGTTTTCACCCCCGCAATCATTGAGACATCGCTGTCTCGATGATCGCGGCTGGCATCTAGTCATCATAATGAAGTCAATCTCATTTTTTGTCGAACCGTCGGGGCTCGACCAGGTCCACCGTGGCACCGCTTCTGAAAGAAAGAGTTCATCTTAGAGTCCCTCTTTTTCCATGAAATCGGTCAGCTGCTTGCCCTTTGGGTTCCGTTACCCTATCCCGAATTTCCCTACCTTCAGCTCACTGTTCTCTCTTGTTTAGTTTTGCATTGAAGTCTCCCATAACATCGTATAGTGGCTTTTGGAGGAATTCATAGAGATATCCTCATATATTTCCTCCACCTCCTCACCGGGATGTGCCGAGGTTGGTGCATAAACCTGTATGACCTTCAACGAATACCGTTTGGTGATTCTGAGTACGCAAGGTACGCAACCCTCGTCGACATACTCCTAATCTTTACAACTTTGTTAACGAGAGATTTGTGGACGATAAATCCGACACCTCTTTGTGACAGATGGTGGCCCTCCCGGTGATAGAATAAGTAATTCGAGGATTGCCGTGTCCTCCGCCTCTCTTCAGACCTCATAATCCTATAATATTCCAGCGCAATTTGTCTATCTCTTCTTCCAGCTCCAGGATCTTCATTCCTCAGGGTGTGTGCGTTATATGTTGCCAGGTCGAGGTCTTAGGTGGCAATCGAGCCTCCACCGGAGATTCTTAGCACCTCCTTCGCCACCTTTACCAACGTCGCCGCCGTAATCAGGAATAGCGGGACCGCCGGAGACTGGGGACTGTATTTTTGTACCTCTCGCCATAGATGGGGGACACATTGCCATAGTTGCCACGCTTGGCGAGTGGGTTGGCAACCGTAGTTTTTTTATTGTTGTTTTGCTGTTATCAGAAAGGTGCTGCTGCCCCTCTCCTGCTTTAGTTTCCCTTTTTCGCCTCTAACGATATCCACGGGAAGGTATGGGATAGTGGATATTCTTAACCGCCACCACACGGAATGAACTTTTGATGTAAAATAGAAAATATAATTTGTATATCGGTTGTAGATTTATTTCTGTTTTATTTATTGTATCTGTTTTTTATATTAAAATAATTTACGAAAGAGCGCAACTATTATGCGTGCCCTAGGTTGGTAACCCACCCACGACGTTTGACTTGTGAAAGAATATATTTTATTATAAGTCTGCCGCTATAACAACTATACTCATTACGCTACCATACTTGGTGGGACTTGACTGGCACTTGGCACTGCCGTGCCACCGCCAAGCCGAACAAAAAAGCGGCACGGCCGTACCATCCTTTTCTCGAAGCAGTTCAGGCCATTTTCGAAACCCTATAACTTCGTTGTGGATAAAACTATAAGCCTGAATTTTCATTAACCAAGGCATTATATAAACTCAGTATATTTCAAATTTCATTAAATTTGAACTATTAGTTTAAGAATTATAACTAGTCAAAGTTTCTTAATTTTGTCACTCACTGACTGACCGATCATCAAAACTCTAAGGCACAACAGAGTTGCGAGACTTGGCTTTTTTTACAAGTTATGTTTTTGATGGCATGAATTTGTGTTAAGCCATAAAATTGAATAGCTAACGAGTTGAATGTAAATTCAAGAAAAACAACTTCCTTCTGCGTGAATCCCATATCTCTGGTGCCCTTTGACCTACAGGACCCAAATTCAAACTCGACCGAGCTACTTACTACCTCAAGGTATGCACATACCAAATTTAAAGTCAATCGGTCCAGTGGAACAGAAGCATACAGACTAACAGACTGCGAGCTAAAACCATTAACTTCCTTTCAATGCTACGCAGAAGGAAGTTAATAACTTCCTGGTAAATATCATTAAGTAGTTATCACTAGCGTATATTTTCTCTTTTCTCAAAAGCTATGGATTTCCGCACTTAATTATTTTGGTATTTGATATAACTTTACTAACACTTTCCACCATAAAAATATGAACGCAAAATTTGGAGTTGCAGTTTCTAAATCTGGTCCCAAAACAAATTATTAAAATAAAACTTTAATTTTTAAAACGGTTATAATCGAGTTATAATGGAGTTTTTAATTATATGTTAGTAAGTTGGGTCGATAACGTCCCTAAATTACTTAGGAAAACTTTACAGAAACGGAATGACCTCGTTTGTTTTAAGCACGCAAAAGCACAGCGTCCCGGTGCTAACGTGCTATTAACTTTGTAATTAAAGCAACCACAGGTGCCACATCTCAGCGCAGTAAACGTAAACTTGACAAAATTATAACTTTTTACTTTACTCTTTATTTTATCACATTACAGGCCGCTTGGGATTGGTTGATTCTAATATTGGTTATCTACACGGCGATATTTACACCGTACGTGGCTGCATTTCAATTGAACGAGCCCGATTTTGACAAAAGATCGCGCAGCTTCGGCGAAGATCCTATCGTCGTGATTGATATGATAGGTAAACACATCCTTTTTACGAATGACTTTCTCATTACCATTTCTTATTTTTTAAATATAATGCAAAATGATATCTAATTACTTATTTGAATATTAATAAGGTAGGTGAGGGTAATATGGTCACCTTAAGCTTTGCCGCCCTATAAAACCAAAACTAGGAGGAGGACAGAGACTAAAACACAACGTACGACTTTGTATTAAAATTAAATAAATTTGTATTACTGTGTTTTAAAAAAAAATAGCAAACATGCTTTGCCAATAATTAGCAACAATTCGAAATATCATCTTAAAAAAATTACTATACTACACAATACTTAAATCGCCTAAAATATTTACAATCATTTCAACTGCCAAAATGGCGTCGATAAAGCAGCGCCCTCTTGACCCTTTATTATTTTATTGACTGATGAAGAGCTATCGTATCAGAGAGCCATCTATGCAAACAAGTTTGTAGTTTTTCAGTTATAAGAAGGTGACCATATTACCCTCACGTACTTTATTATTATCCTATTTACACGTGAAAATAAACTGTTATATTTACAAACATAAGTATTTTATTTTTTGAAGAAGAAATGTAACACAGATTTTAATGTTTCCAGTGGACGTGACGTTTATAATAGATATCCTTATAAATTTTCGTACAACATACGTCAACGCGGCAGATGAAGTGGAATCGGATCCGGCGAAGATTGCTATGCACTACTTGCGCGGATGGTTCATCATCGACCTCGTCGCCGCCATTCCCTTCGACCTGCTCCTCTTCGGCACCAATACCGACGAAGTGAGCTGCTCTTTCATCGCGTCTACCATACTAACCGCATCCGATTTCATGCCACCCTTACACATATATTATATAACATTAGATATAGATATACAAACGAATGCCTGGAATTAGTGGAAAATAGTACCAGACGATCAATTGTCCGAAATTTAAAAAAACAACATTAACATAAAGTTAGCCATGACTCTATTTTTCAAGCGAATATATTTAAAATAAACATAAAAATATCAACAGTCTAGCACAAATTGTATCTACACAAAAATTAGTGGCAAAGCACGTCATATTCCGTTTACGTAAAAAAGTAGGTCAGTTGAAATGAAAAGTAGGTCATACTTCACAAGCTTATATTTCCATAGTGATCATTTCAAAATTATTATTGGAATCACTGTGCATATAAGGGTTAAAAACATCGGTATATATAATCAAATGTTAAGTTACTGTATATTTTAATCAAATCTTATTAGACTTTTCGGACAAATGAAGTTCTGGATATTCTTAGACCAATCACGTACAGTAGCGGAATGCATTTACTGCAAATAACACTATTAAACTAATTCTTTACCACAAATACAGACGACAGATTATATGCCGATCACGAATACGCCCCATAAATAAAATTGGCTTTTAATATAGACATAAAATATTTACAGTTTAATTTCTATTGAAATCCCAATTAAATAATTGAATTTTTAATTTATAGGTATATATATAATTTTTAAAACAAATTGACATGAATATTATTATTATTACACTCAGGTTCTAAAATATTTCATACCCATGTTATTAATTTAATTCCTCATACTTTATTTTTTCTAATACCTTTGCATGGTATAAAGAAAAACCCAAGGTGGGTGCATACTGAATCTGTAATACCATTTCTTGTTACAGCAGGGGCTGGAAAGTGATGAGGTATACCATCTTTGTGAATTATTTTTGTTGCTGCCACAATATTTTATTAAGTTTTAGTTCTTATATTTTGAAACATTGAATTACCACTAGCTGTTTGATCACTAAGCGAATGCATAATGGAAGAGTTGGACGCTTCCCTGAGCAAACGTGTACTTTGTTTAAGATTTTACACCACGGCAGACCTTTTGGAGCGCTCACTCGCTGAAATCACGAGCTTAGCTAAAATATTACTTACAAACTTTTACAAATTAATTTCTTATAATCATTATCACAAAATATCAATCCCATCATTGCTTGATTAAGAAGCAAAACTCAAAATATGATTCAAAGCAAAAGGAACAAATGAAACTATATTAAATAAAATGTTCTCGTTATTTAAACGACTTCAGAAAGTTGCCTTAAGGTAATAATATGATCCATTTTAATAGAATATTAGCTTTTTAGAAGTGTTAAACTAGGAGTGATTTGAATAGTTAGTTGTGAATTATACAGTATAATATTTATAAAAGTAAAAGAACCCTATTACTCAGGGTGTTTGTCATAACGAAAGCATTAACATTTGTCATGTTCATAAGCTTATTCCATAGTTTGAGTGCAAGTGTCACAAAACGCACAGTGCTTGGTTACCGATACGCTCACACTTCCCAGACTAATACAATATGTACAAAACAACGATACGCCTTTCACAACATTAATTATTAGCACAAGTAAATCCTGAACATAAATATGGCACCCACCTTACATCAAACTAAATTATTTCATACGTATGTGTATTTGGTGATTTCCGTTTTTCTTGGATATGTAACAATTTTATCCCTATGTTTTCTGTTCTGTAAGTTCTGTTAATACTAATGATTTTGTTTTGTGCATAACATTTTCTTTATAATTATTATTTTTTCATTAAATGTTTTTTCGAAAATCTTTTTTTATTTTCGAAAATCTATGCAGTTTCTATTACGGACATTAAAATATAATAAATAGAAAATATTAATACCATCCAAACAATAAAGAAACCTATATTTATTAATTGAACCAAAATTATAAACTCGCAGATCTATTTTTATTTTTATTTCTTATCTTACATAACAAGTCATTGAATAAATCAGATAATTCATAAGGTTAAGATTTTTTCAAGAAAATTTTATCTTAGTCCCTGTCCTACCAAGCAAAATAAAAATTAGCGATAAGTATTTATTATTCTACAACGCTATACAGTCAAAGTAACCAGAACGTAGTTTTTTATATTAATTGTAGGTTTATTCTTAAATCTGATATAATATTATTAAATTAAATTATTTACGTGAACCTCGAAATCAATATTTAAAAAAATTTCAAACGATGTATTTTTATTATATAATTGAGTAAAAATAAATGTACAGTTCGGTTACATACATGTATAATCATATAATAAACATTGTTTCGTTCAAGGAATTTGAACTCAAAACAATAATTTATAAGTTTAAGTGCATATTTTAATTAATTAATTAAATGAGCCTTTAAGTGAGTGGTGAGGTTCTTGTACCTTGAACTATCAAGTTACGAAGTGATTTAGCCCAAGTTTGAACTACGAACTATTACATATTATATCCACTAATTATTTTTTTACAAAATTGATCCTGTGTGTTATGCTCGTAAAGCTGGTATAGTGGTAGAAAATCATTTTATGAAGAAAAAAATCATTAGTCTTTTTTAACAAAAAAAAAGTAAAAACTTTTGGTTCCAGTAATATTTACTAGCATTTGTGAAACAACAATATTATATGCACCGCAAATTATAATGAAGCTAGCTAATTTCATAGTAAGAAATAATTGCTTTTACTGCAAACTTTATCTCAGTTTGGCTGAGTACAAAAGTCGCTAGCATAGTATGAATCTTAGATTACTTTTGCTTGGTTAGCGTGATTCGCTGCGAAGCCTCATTAATGCTAATTAATCATAAGCGAACGTTCATCCAAAGCTTGAATTCGATTTGCGCATTTCAGTTTTCAAAACAAATCGGCTTTCTAAGCTCACATTCTGTTTGCAGACGACGACGCTCATCGGCTTGTTGAAAACAGCACGACTGTTGCGGCTCGTTCGTGTTGCACGTAAAATTGATAGATACTCTGAATATGGCACTGCCGTCCTACTCCTCCTTATGGCCACATTCGTCCTTTTTGCCCATTGGCTCGCGTGTATATGGTAAGTACATATTTAAAATAAAACAAACATCACGACATTTGAGGCATTGAGGACGAACCTACAGCATTTAATAACTTTAAGTGTGTTTTAGAGCAGCAACCTTTCAACAATCAACTTTCTATCGGCTTTTACTAAAATTTCTATTCTTTGTTTACTATTAAAATTAGTTAGTAGTCACATAGTTTAAAAACATTAGCGCCGAAAAATGTCTCGTAATTTCTTAAATTGTAATCCTGTAAAAGTAATTTCTCAATAAACATGTAATTATTACATTATATTATAATACTTTATAAGGTACGCAATCGGAAACTGGGAAAGACCTCAACTACAAGCTCCTATTGGCTGGTTGGATGCTCTTGCTAATGATGTACAGGCATCATACGATAATTCTACAGGACCGTCGATGAGGTAAATATAGGAATCGTTCTCATATCATTCAATAGTTTAATTAAAATCTTTTAACATTGGTTTATTATTTAGATAGTAAGCCGCCGCTTCCACAAATACTGCTATTTTCAGGAAGTAATATGATTCCTAGGGATTTAGAATCTACCAAAAAAAATAGTGTCATTTTAGAATTATATGTAAAATACAAAACAAAAACATTAGTCAATAATCAATTATCAATAATCTCTTATTACATTTTAGATAGACACTTTGGCTTATGGCCCCTATTTTTTTTTAATATCAATCTAACTACTTTAAATTTAGGATGTAAGGTTTTCATTATTAGAACTTTATTCCTCATTTTTAAATTTCATTTAGTGATTGTAAATGTTAACATAATTTTAATTTCAGGTCACGTTACATCACAGCTCTGTATTTTACTTGCACCTCTCTAACCAGTGTGGGTTTTGGTAACGTGGCGCCTAACACCGATATGGAAAAAGGATTTACGATATTTGTCATGCTTCTTGGATGTTAGTATCATATGTACTCAACGCTTTATAATCAGTAGTTTTTAACAATTAGCTAATTTAGTTTAGACATTTATCCGACACCATCCGTTCACCAATCATTATTCGGAGCACGTCCCCAAGCGTAACAGTTTTCTGAAAGGCTAGTGTAAGTCTTTGATTTAAATGAGAAACGGGTATGCGTTAGTTCGATAACTTTATAGTCTGTTCGCTTAGATAAGGTGCCCTTTGTGTCGTGCCGCCTTGGCTGGCTTGGCTTACAAATCTTGTAAAAGTCGCCACCGCGACATTAAAGGTCACCGCGTACGGCGTACACCAGCAGGATAATTTGGCATTTTAAAACGAAGCGCCATAGTGAAAGGTTCTTTGCTACCTAAGTTGGGTTTATTATTTATATTCGTATTTTACTACAATAACCATAAGAATAAAATAATATTCTATTTTATTCTTAGAATAGATAACAAACACAATACAAAATAATAAAATAAAAGCAAAATAATAAGTGCGCCTACGGATATACCGACTCTATCTTTGTGAACAGACTATACTAGACTTGTCTTACGTAGACTTTCATTATGGAAAGTTAGTCTAATATAATTTTTTATCATGTAATTACCTCGTATGATGGAAAGTTACATGCCCTTGAATATATTAAACCCGGACAACCAGCTTACTCTAAGATTTCCTCGCTAAGCGTGTTAAAATATACATAAGCCAATTTTGTTGTGTGCGGCTAAATTGTAAATCTTCTACGAGTTTTTTGCATATTAATTGCGTATGATAATTTTTTGTTAATGTATGTAAATTAATAAGAAAATTACCGTAAACCCCTGTAGACTGATAAAAGCTCATCGTAAAAATCTTAAATTGATTGTTATTTTTTCAACCCACAGCGCTTATGTACGCTAGTATTTTTGGTAATGTTTCTGCAATAATACAACGCCTGTACTCTGGCACAGCACGCTATCATACGCAAATATTGAGAGTACGGGAGTTTATTCGCTTTCACCAGGTAAGAAAATTACGTAATAATAAAAAATAAAACTATTTATACATTTGTATTTAGAGATACTTAATGATTACTAGTAATTATTAAACACTTACCATTTTAACAGATCGCAAATCCTTTACGGCAAAGATTGGAGGAATATTTCCAACACGCATGGAGTTATACGAACGGGATCGATACCTCTAGTGTACTAAAAGGCTTTCCTGAATGCCTTCAAGCTGACATCTGCCTGCACCTTAATCGCAATTTACTAGCGAACTGTGCTGCTTTCGAAGGTGCTAGCCCTGGTTGTTTAAGGTTCGTTATTCAAGCAAATAAAGGTGACCTTATTTTTACTTAAAAAATAACTAAATACATTTTGCATAGTTTTACATTCTTCTTACTTGCTCATAAGTTTTATAGCTATTTTAAGACATCTCGTCTTAAAAATAATTACAAAAAGGTACTAAAAATTAATTAGGGACAAGCGCTTCTTAATTATGGCAGTTTGCGAACACTTTATTTCCCACCGATTTCATAATATCACTGATTGCAATTAGTTCTGCATAGCTCTGATGTGATGATTTGTAATATCTTGTATAATATTGCATACTTTTCTATGATTGCTTTTCTTAACTATTCAGACATTTACTTATAGAAATTAAAACATTTTTAAAAATATACTAATATACTGGAAAAAATTAATACAAAGACGTTTTTCAGAGCGCTTTCGTTGAGATTTAAAACAACTCATGCGCCTCCTGGAGAGACTCTTGTCCATCGAGGCGATGTCTTAACATCCCTTTATTTCATTTCACGTGGATCGATAGAAATTTTAAAGGATGATATCGTTATGGCCATCTTAGGTAAGTATGTTAAAAATTGCATTTTGCTGGAATTTTTGTATACAATTACAGCTAGAAATTGCCACAAAACTAACCCGTTTACGAGTACCGTTATTAAGATAGTTTAACGTTTCTGAGTATTGCCATTTCATGCTGCTATATGCTGCACCCTTAATATTTTTTACATATATACTATTCTATAAATGTTATGTTATAACGAAACGGTTAAAGATTTTTCGTTATTACCGTGGTAGAAACCGACCACAAAAACAATATAATATTATGTACTAATAACAAAATTTTTTGACAATAAACACGATACCCTTTTATTTTAGATGTTTTACTACCCTTTTTAACATGATTGATCATTGTACAGGTAAAGATGATATATTTGGCGAAAATCCTTGTATTCATTCGAATGTGGGCCGAAGCAACTGTCGAGTACGCGCCCTAACATACTGTGATCTACACCGCGTGCATCGTGACGACTTGCTGGACGTCCTCGATATCTACCCTGAGTTTCGTTCGTCCTTTGTCAACAACCTCGAGATAACATATAACATGCGGGATGTGAGTTTTACCAATATCTTTGACGTGTCCTTACCAGAACGGACTAAATGCCCTCAAGTCGTATGATTTTAAATTTTGGAAAAATGATCATCATCATTATAGTTCATCACAAGTCCACTGCTGAATATAGACCTCTCCCAAGGAATGCCATATAACATGGTCCTGAGCCACCGGCATTCATCGACGTCCTCTCGCATCTTTTATCAGGTCGTCATTCCATCTAAAGAAAGAAAGAGAGAGAGAGAGAGAGAGAGAGAAGTTAAAGGTACATACTATAAATATAAATAAAACCTCATGTATGTCACCCAGAAAGTAGGCGGAGAATACAGACTTCCATTTAGCATGATCGTGACACACATCTTTTGCTTCTATTCGTTATATGTTATTAGAGTCCACTGCTGAAAATAGGCCTCCTCCATAGATTGCCTCATAGGGGATATTTCCCATGTTGCCACGCTTGGCAAGCAGGTTGGCAACCGCAGTTTTTTTCTATTTTTAGTAGTTATTAAGAAGACGCCTCTTACGACATTACGAGATGATATGGGGTAGTGAATATTCGCTTCGCACCTTTCACATCCATATAAACGCATGCATGGGTGTCGGTTAAGGGTACTAAATTTGCCAAACAATTACTTTACGTACATCTGCTAGATAAAATAAAATGATGAGTCTTACCTAGTTTGAAGAGCACCTCCCGCCCTCCCTCAATTGCGTGCACTATCCCCGTCACCACTAATCCCAGCACCACTACTCCCAACACCACTACACTAGGTAAGACACACCACTGACGACAATACATCACGTGTTTCGCCTTTACACGAGGCATCCTCAGGTGATATAGACTCTACGGTGGCTAATCGCTAAGTGAGCGGCGAGCCAAAACAACTGCCTTTTATACAGACAAATATAATGGACTCCCGCAAAGTAACGCCTGATTCTATTAATTAGGTTAAGGGTACTCTTAATTTGGCCCTTCTTCAATGTATCGACAAAATTGTCGATAAACTTCCGTTATCGCGGCCTTTCCCGTCTCTGAACCTCACTTCTGCAGCATGATTTTGCTTTGTCACTCTTTCTTCATTCATTTTTTCTACGTTGTTAAACCACTGAAGTACTTATTTTTTAAACCTGGTCACAATAAATTTTCAACTAGAACTAATTTTTTATTAGATATCTAAGAAGATTTATACGTAAAATTTTTATTAGATAAGTTATTTAAATTGATAATTTGTTGAATATTGGACATGGAAGAACCAAAATTTCGCATGTTTGATAAATAAAATATGTTTCGGGGATTTTCGTAAATTTTACACCTTTACTACTTTAACAAACTTGTGTTTCATAATGTTGGACGTTAAGATGCTTACTTTACCTTTTCATTTTTTATATATATACAGCCTTACTAAAACAACCTTTAATGTAGGAATCTTTTCAGGAGGAGTTGGGGGGTATTGAACCTCGTCGTCGGATGCGCTACGAGAACCCATACGACGCTCGGTTACTGCGCGAGGCCTACGCTCGCACGACTCGTAGGCCGCACACCGAAACCTTTGCTGACAAAGTGAGTAACTTTTTTAGTAATTGACCGTCATTCTGCTTTAATTCATATCCTTTTCACTAATACTAAATCCATAATAAAAGGTGTAAGTTATTGTGTTTTAATCGTCCTATTTAAAATATCAAGACATAATATTATGTTTGTGTTTTATGATGGCGACGTTATCTTTCTCCTCTATTATTAAGAATAATTTTGTGTTTAATCTATATTATTTCATATTTCATAAGTAAACTTAAAGGGTCTAAATAGGATAATTTTGCAATGGATCCCACAAATAGACTAGAATAATAATTATGTTTTTCTTATACTTACATCGTTTTTTTATTAAATACGCTGAATACCACTGAATACATTGCTAAACAATACTATAACACTACTAATACTTCATGTAGTAACATATAAAATTAAAGACGTTCAAAATTTATTAACTAAGATCTGCGTAATTTTCATCATTCATTCATTCCTAATAGTGCGCGCAATTTAAGAAGGGCGGGATAACATATTTAATAAAATAAATATCCGCAAAGTAACGCCTCATTTTAATAATAACGCTTAAAATATTTGAATCTTGTATTTCACAATATTTCCTTAGCCATTAGGCTCCTGTCGCTTTTGATAAAATAGAATTTAATTATAATAACTGTTTACATGTGTGTTACAACCGTGTGTTGGTTGTAAGTATAACAATATTCAACATAATTCACTTACAAGCAAAACATAATTGGCATCAAAGTATTCTAGTTATCTGGAGCTTCACGGCATGAACTAACTCAATAAGTTATTAATTTTCTAAAATTCAAGACAACAAAATTTATAAATTTATATTTACAGTCAACTTACAAATTGTAAATAAGATAGCGTTGTTTAAATAAATAATAATTTCCACACCATAGATCACTAATAAAAAACTAGATACACAATCAGTGACAAAAAATGTTCTTACCGAATGAGCGCCCACTCGAACATTTGGGTGCGCTTTTAATTTGTACATAGCTTTGTGAATACAAGTTTAGGCAATGCATTTAAGGTTGAATTTACATTAATGCATATCTATTTCATCTAGAATTACGTCGAAAAGATTGGCGACAGTTTTTAGAGAACTTTTGCATTGGATTGTGTATCTAGTTTTTTATTAGTGATCGATGCCCCACACAAATAAAACGAAAATCTAAGTAGTAGTAAGATTTATGGGAAGAAAATTCCCATTAGACCAGTAAGACCACTGGGAATCTTCGTGCTATACCACGAAAGAATATTTTTAGTAGTCCTACTCTATAAAATACATGGAATTTTTCATCAGTACTTAAGTAGTTTATTTTAGGACTAGGCAAGCATAAACTTGCAGGCAGTAGGATAGTTTTAGCTTATATTTTGTACACTTATACTACTAATATTGATATGTAGGTACGCGTGATATTTCTGAGACAAAAAATATAATATTAACCATAGAATAGGTATGTACATAAACCTAATAGATCTAATAGTATTGGTATGACAATCTTCTTATTAGACTTGAATCTATGGTCAAAGTTAAAAAACAATTTGATAAAATGTATAATACTTACATAATAAATATACCACTGCTACTGAGTCTTTCCGTTAAAGAAATTATTATTAGCAGCCCGGTGTCAGAAAGCACGTACAGTTGTTAGTTCTGCCCCTGATCTCTCTCCGGTTGTGTCGGATTATCTTCCCATCGAACCATAAGAGTGAGAGAATAGAGAGTTTACCTGAGCTTGCTAATGCATTCTGGCACTATAATCCTGTCCGCACTGGCCGCCGTGACCAAAATACGTTCTGAAGAACTATCCTACTGCCTCTTGCACATTTATGAATGCCTAGTACTTTTCTTACTATTTATAAAAAACAAACCTCAGTCAAATTAGGTCAAAAAACGTTGTTAACATGAAAAATACATAAATTATGACAAAAATAAACTAAAGTACCTATGAAAATATTCTACTGGACTACTGAGTATTTTCTACCCCAGTAATCTTAACAGCTAGTTCTACTCAATAAGAAAATTCCCATTAGTGTTACTAAACTATTTGCTAACACTACTTGGAAATACACGATACATGGTAAGAAAAATCCCAGTAGTTTTACTAATAACACTATTTAGTAAGGCTACTGGGAATACATCACGGCACGAAGATTCGCAATGGTCTTATTCCCATAAGTCTTACCAGTAATACCACTGAAAAGAAAATTCCCGGTAGTCTTTCTAGTAAGACTACTTGGTAAGAATACTGGGAATACCCCAAAATTATACCTCAAAACAGTATATTTTCTGTTAGAAGTGAAATACCGACCTCCATAAAATTATAGAATAATGTTATCATATTTATCCAGACTTCTGCCAAATATCTAGAAGATGCAAATCTCTTGTTTCATTTATCTCTATCGTCTTTTACAATACCCACTAAGATAGTCACATCAGATTGCACAAATCAATTGATATTTTTCACTGGTATAAAATTCACAATAATGTTGTAGATTTGTTTAGATAGTTAACTTTATTACAGACACTTTTTTTACAGACGCATGGGATTGCCCTCGTTTTCTTTGTGTCCAGTTTCGACCTTCATAATATACCCACATTAAATTGTGATATATTCAAAACTCTTCGCAAATCAAAAATTGCAATTGTATCATCTCTGTTAGCTTATTCATTTGTCCAATGTTTTCATTTATTGCTTACCATACCGTTTTTCTAAAGATGACTTTATTGTATGGTCAGCCTATTCAAACCAATAAAGATTAATGTTCTTGCATATAGATGACTAGCGATCCACCCTGGCTTCGCTCGGGTGATTTCTGGATCTCGACAACAGCGCCACCTACCGGGTTCAATTGTGAATCTAAACCATCCAGGGACCACAGGCCGCAACCGGCACGCACACAAAAAACATACGTGAATGTCGTGGAACACTCGGTTGGAACGAAGTTCATTTCGTAGTATATTATTATTGATAAACGTATTATATTATTGATTAACAAATTTATTTTATATATTACTAGCGTCAATTAAAATGAAGCGTCATTTAAAATAAAATAATATTTCTTTTATGACAAGATAAGAAAAAGTGCGAGGGTGATGAATATTAGTCCATATCGCTTCCTCATAGCCGCCAAGGTCGTCTACACTACGTCAGAAGAAGTCGTGACGGAAAAATCTTACACTTTTTCTCGAATAGCCCCCATCCGCCAAATTCGTACCGTCCGATAAGGAATTTCGTTCCAAAATTTCATCAAAATCGTTTGAGCAGTTTTCGAGTTTTAGCGAGACTAACAGAGAGCAATTGATTTTTATTTAAAGAGATATGCATAGAGCATGAAGAACATTAATCCCTTTTGGTTTGAGTTTGAAATATGAATAGTTATTTTGTATAAAAAAAACTGTTTCATATTAGCGTTTTGTGGCCGTCGAAAAATTACCGTAATCTTGTCGTACCAAACAATATTTAATTTATAAACGATACATTTTTGAGATATTAAGATCTCCTGAACAGTATTTAATATTTTCACTACGTACGAGGGTGACACTGAAAGTTTTTAGAACTGGCCACTTGTAAACAATATAATAAAAAAATAAGTTCAAATTTTAAAAATGCAACTCTTTGCCAATATTATTGTGTATGTATATTACTAATTTGTCATTTGTTTACGATTTGGCGGCAAATTGAAAATTGTCTGTGTCAAGGCAGTATGAATTTTTTTTCTAATTTGACAACTTCCAAATTAGGAAAAAACATGTAACAGTGTTGTTGACGAGTATGTTTACCTGGGACAAATAGTCCGACTAGGTAAGTCCAACTTCGACCGAGAGGTCAATCGACGGATTCAACTCGGTTGGGCAGCGTTCGGGAAATTACGGCACATCTTCTCGTCAGGTATACCTCAAAACTTGAAAACGAGACTGTACACCCAGTGCGTGTTGCCAGTGATGACATACGGAACTGAGACGTGGTCCTTCACTGCTGGCCGGATGAGGAAGCTCAAGGTCGCTCAGTGAGCTATGGAGAGGGCTATGCTCGGAGTTTCTCTGCGTGATAAACTCAGAAATGAGGATATCCGCAGTAAAACTAGAGTGACCGACATAGCCCAACGGATTAGTAAGCTGAAGTGGCAATGGGCCGGCCATATAGCTCGAAGAACCGACAACCGATGGGGAAGAAAGGTTCTCGAGTGGCAGCCTCGTACCGGCAGGCGAAGTGTAGGGCGTCCCCCCACTAGATGGAGTGACGACCTGGTAAGATATGCAGGAAGTCGATGGATGCAGGTGGCTCAGGACCGTGCTTTGTGGCATTCTTTGGGGGAGGCCTATGTTCAGCAGTGGACTTGTGAAGGGCTGTAATGATGATGATGATGATGATGTAACAGTATGAAACAGTATGAATTTAACGCGAGAAAATTTTTGTACAATGATTTTTTATGACTTTCAATGTCATTTAAGTCAACAAGAAAGTTACGATAGACTTCGATTGGCCTTTCACGATGAAGCCCCATCTTGTGCCACTGTTTACAACTGGTTTAATGAATTTAAACGTGGTCGCACTAATCTCACCGATGATCTGCGTGAGGGACGGCATCCTACGACGGCGACTAAAGATAACATCAGCGTTGTGTGATGTCTGATAGAGACTGACAAAAGAGTGACTTATCACCAGATTCCGACAAGCTTAGCTCCTCCATGAACATTTAACGGTCAGAAAGCTTTGTGCCCGGTGGATAACTCATAATTTGACAGAGGCCCAAAAACTAAGTCGTGTTGATTGGTGTCGTGAAATGTTTCAAAGATTTAACGGAGGTGACTCTAATGCTGTGTTTGACATACTTACGGGTGACGAAAGCTGAATTTATTGTTATGATCCTGAAACTAAGAGACAGTCTGCTTTCTGGGTGTTTCCTTCCGAGGAGTTGCCAACTAAAGTGAAGAGCGGTCGAAACGTGGGAAAGAAGATGGTGGCCTCGTTCATCGGAAGGACAGCTCATTACGCAACAATTGTTTTAGAGGATTGAAAAACAGTTATTGCAGAAGGTACACTAACACTTGTTTGCCACTTCGCTTGAAAAAAGTTCGGGAGAAACGACCTCGCAGTAGGATCCTCCTTTACAACGACAACGCCTCGTCGCACACCGCCAATCAAACAAACGACTACTTGGCAACGTCAGACGTGGAATTACTGGGTCACCCGCCCTATAGCCCCGACCTTTTTATTTCTGAAACGACTTCGACGATTTTTATTTATTTCTGAAAATAAAAGAAAACATTTTATTGACGCCGAGGAAGCAGTTTCAAAATACCGTCGAAGAGACCCGTAAGGACGAGTGGGCAAAGTGCTTTTCTCAGCGGTTCCATCGGATGCAGTGATGCATTGATGTAAAGGGACACTATTTTGAAAAGATAAAACTAATAACTTGCGAGTTTGTTCAGTTTTTGATTTTCTAAGAAATTTCAGTGTCACCCTCATATCTCTTATTTTCTATAGAGGATACATAATGTCGAGTACATCACTGGCCTTCGATTTGCGGACGATACAGTCCTTATGGCAAAATAGCTGGAGGACCTAAGCACTGTGCTGAATGGCCTCAATAGTGCCTCTCAACGAATAGGTCTTAAAATTAACATGGACAAAACAAAGATCATGTGTAACGTCCAGCTCACGCCTATGCCGGTAGTTGTTGGAAGCACTAAGCTCGAAATTGTTGACGAGTATGTATACCTGAGACAAATAGTCCGAGTAGGTAAGTCAAACTTCGAACGAGAGGCCAATCGACGGATTCAACTCGGCTGGGCAGCCTTCAGGAGATTACGACACATCTTCTCGTCAGGTATACCTAAAAACTTGAAAACAAGATTGTACAACCAGTGCGCGTTGCCAGTGATGACTTATGTTCCCTCACTGCTGTCCGTAAGATGAAGCTCAAGGTCGCCCAGCGAGTTGTGCAGAGGAATATGCTCTGGCTCTGGGTTTCTCTGCGCGATAAACTTAGAAATGAGTCAGAGTAACCGACATAGCCCAACGAATTAGTAAGCTGTTAATTTGTCTAAATCAGTTGACACTATTAACGCTGATCTGACTTGTATTTCGAATTGGAGTAAACGTTATGGTTTAACGATTAATCCTAAGAAAACTCAGGCCATTATCATCGGTAGTTCTAGATTAATTGGAAAAATTGACTGGTCTTCCCTACCTCCTATTTTACTAGACTGCACTCAAATCCCTTACAGTAACAAGGTTAAAAACCTGGGGTTGTATCTCGACTCTTGTATGTCTTGGACCTCACAGATTAATGAGATTAGTAGAAAAATGTTTGCTGCTTTAAGCTCTTTACGTAGATTACGTAATTTTCTTCCCACAGTAACTAAAGTTACGCTCGCCCAGTCTCTACTTCTACCTATCCTTGACTATGCTGACATATGCTATCTTGACATTACCGAGGAGCAGCTTAATAAGCTTGAGCGCATTCAAAATTTATGTATTAGATTCATATACTCACATTCTCTCCACTTTGTATAGCGTGCTGTTTAATCCTTCCACTCCTCATTATTTAAAAAACCGTTTCCAGTATCTTTCCTTTACCCATAATCGGTTCCTTCGATCCTCTGTCAATCTTTCTCTCTCTACTCCTTCGCACTCTTCCTCCTTTTTACGAAATCATTTACTGTAACTGCTGTACGTTTGTGGAACTCTTTACCTCTCCACATTCGTCGTGTTCAATCTCCTCATTCTTTCAAAAGTCTTGTTAAATCGTATTACTTAGAACGCTATTAGATAAATCACTTTTCCTTTTTCGTACTCTTTTCATTTAATCTATTATATTATATCATTCATAATCTTCACTTGTCTTTATTTGTGGGTATTTTCATACTTTTTATTTTTATTTTGTACGCCCCCCTCTATTTTTAACTATTGTTTGCATCAGTTCTCTACACTAAGGTTGTCTGGAAGAAATCACTTTCAGAGTGATAAGACCGCCTGTTGTACATTTTCTAATTTAGATTTAACTGTATTCGGTTTGTTTTGTTTTTTGGTGTACAATAAAGAGTAAATAAATAAATAAATAAAATAAATGGAATAGTTACATATTACTATGATTAAGATAATGTATTATTGTAGGAAGTTCTTTGTAAGAGACTTATTTTCAACCACATCACTTTAATTTTTATTATTACTGATAGTATAGTTATTACTTATAATAACTTAAAATTAAAATATTTTGTGTTTGTGTGTTCTGTCGGTAGTCTTACAAAGTGTATACGAAAATAGTATGAATATAGTAAACGGCAACACTTGAATAGAGTAAAAATGATTTAAGTCATTTGATATTCACAAATTTTTTTATTTTTTCTGTGTCTTTAATTAAAATACATTTTTATTTGAAAAATCATAGAAAAATAATAAAACTCATTTTATATATAACTTATGTCGAGACGCAATAATTTTTGTCTATTAAATCAAACTATTTTTCGGCCATTGTTCTTTATTTGAAAGCTATGTATCATCACCTTCTCGTCATGTATACTTCAACACTTCAAAATAAGATTGTACAACCAGTGAGCGTTGCCAGTGATGATTTATGGATCTGAGACATGTTCCTTCACACTGGCAGATGGAATGACGACGTGGTAAGATATGCAGGAAAGCAATGGATATAGGTGGGTTAGGATCGTGCCTTTTGGCGTTCCTTGAGGGAGGCCTATGTTCGGACTTGTGAAGGGGTGTAATGATGATGATGGTGAGAGTGAGGGAATAAAGAGTGCACCTGTGTTTGCGCATACACATACACTTGCTCACTATAATCCTATCTATATAAAATATATTTTATTACAAAGGATAGAGCATCATTGAGGTACTACTCCATTTAATGTTATGGCAACACTAGCTAAAACAAAATGTCACTGTTTTTTTCACTGGCTTTACGGCTCTGGCTTCTAGCCCTTCTGAGAATGTATATTTCTACCATGCCAGAAATATACATTTATAGTATGCAAATATATAATAGAGATACAATAATGTAAAAATTCTCAATAATGTAGGTAGGTACATTATGTTGAGAATGTATTACCACTTTAACCAAAGGAGGCATGACTTTTTCCAAGTGACATAAGACATAACCTAAAAGGGTTTAAATCTAAATATCTTTTTTGACGCCTTCTCAGGACAAAATTCTTTGACAGAGTTATTAAGGGACTGACGCTTAACATTTTGAGATATTTTTGATATATAGACGCTACCATTCCTTCTTTCAATTTTATGTATGAAAGTCTGCCATTGTTCTTTGTCAGTATGATACGCGCGCCAAATATTGAAAGCAATAAGTTGACAAAGTTTTACCATTTGCCTATATTACATATATAAATGTGTGTGTTGTATATTCTTTTTTACCTCGTGTTTTATCACACCGACTTAACCTACCCCTGTTATTTACGCCCATAGATATTACGCCCATTGCATAATATGCTTCTTTATGTTTTATATGGTGTGCAATAAAAAGTATTAAATAAATAAATAAATGTCAATTATTAAATGGGAAAGTCTTAATATCCTTATTAAAATACAACACTATCTGATATTTTCAGGATTCACAGTGCAGCGACGAAGATACGGAATCACCCGCCAGTCGAGGTATACTCGAATTTTCTGCAGACAAAGCCGGACAAGACGTCACGCCCCTTAACTTTAATTTTAGCAAGCAACGCTCCACTACGCTCAATTCCATAACGGGTAAGATATGATTAACAACTAACATGGAATGAACACTATAACTTTCTTTAATAAAATATTTGATTTGTAATGTCAATCAAGTACCTCAATGATGCTCTATCCTTTGTAATAAAATATATTTTTGTTCAAGGTTGCTTTTCTAACATAAACGTAGGAACATTGCGACTAATTAAAAATTATCATCTAAATTTAACGAGATCACAAAGATATTTGGAAAAAATGTATAAACGATTACTCAATATAGAGTATCATTTGTGCTTGTTAAGTACTAATCATAATTTAAATAGAGTAGATGCACATAGAATTTGAATGATGTGCAAGTCCCTATGTAAAATATCCTTTTTACCATAAAATTTTACATTTAGATTGACCTAAAGGTAAACCGTAGGTACAACTCGGTTCATTTGTAATGAGATAGATCGAATCTATCAAATGTGGTAAGTTACTACATATTTGATAAATATTTTAATGATTGATTACACACATCAACACTGTCTAGGGATATTTCAGGTTTATTACCATAACTTTGAAAGTACTGCCCGTACAAAATAGATTTAAATGACAATTTCATCCTGTCACATTTATTTTCTGTACATATTCTAAATTCAAATTTAAAAAAGACCGAGGCCGTAAAATCAAACTTAACTATGTTACGATTTCTTTTCTCACAAGTTTGTTTATTGATTTAATGCCGGTAGTTTCTTTTTATGCCGTGGAACTCCGATATCCAGAAAAGAGATGCTAAGAGCAAAAAGCATACTAGAAACATGCACGTTCCAGTTCAATATCACTGAATGTCATAAGGTCAAGTGAAAGCGCATATCAAGATTTTGGCCTCGCTACCGGGCTGGTGAGGTAGCTGGGTAGCACATTGAGAATAGTCGAGTCACCACCGTAAGGCCAGACCAGTTTCAACGAATGACGGCGAGAAGATAACCTAACGTTGCGGCCAGGCAATTGGTTTTGAATTGCAGTGTGATCAAAATATGAAGCAAAGACTGCACCAAGTCGACCTTCATGCTCAGAGATCACTTCAAATCCCAGCACTGCGGCGAGGCAATCCCAGACAAAAATAAGAACGATCCAGAGCATTATTCTCAGATGAAACCCGGCTCGTGTTTCATCTGGATTTATGAAGGATACGTATTAGGTGAACAGCTGGACGGAAGAACCACCTGCAAAATCTCCAGAAAACTAACCTCGTTTAAAGTTAAAGTTACAGCCTATATACGTCCCACTGCTGGGTACTGGGCTCCTCTCATTTCTGAGAGGGTTTTAGGGCAAGGAAATATCCGCCGCGCTGGCCCAGTGCGTGTTGGCGAATTCCACATGTTTACGATTTTTTCCTTATTTTTCAGACATGCAGGTTTCCTCACGATATTTTTCTTCACCGCCGAGCACGTGGTAAATCAGCACTTAAAATTGCAATTAACAATTTAATTGGTGCTACCGGGGATCGAGCCCGGGTTACTCGCTTACTGTGAAATTTACACTCAGCACATAGACCCTGAGCTGCCACGGCTCCTCGTGATAATTTAACTGCTGTAAATACCTGATAAGGCTTAGGCTAGAACCTGTAGTCAGGCCACAGCAGTTAAAAATGGGTCAAGATTTTATTCTTTGCATTTTAATGCCCACCCACAATCGGCTCGGGTAGCTCATTGCTGCCCTGCTACTTAATAATACGAGAGTTTAAAAACTTAAACATCACGCATTGATCACGAGCTGTGATAAATCTGATAATTATTTAATTTTATCCTGTTGATCCAGATCAGGATACTAGGATAAAGCTCGCGGAATTAAATTATTGTACTGTCATCGGTACTTGATACGAGCAATTGCAAATTTTCAAGTCAGTCGGCCGTCTAGAAGTTGGTAAAAATTACATTAAAATCTTCCGTTTCATTGATAGATAGATACACGCGAAGCTAAGAAAAGCGTATTAAAAAAGTTTTGACAAACATTACCACATACTACTAAGAAGAAATTATACTACTTTTGAGTAAAATTGAGGGACTAACCACACTTATTCAGCTCAATTCAGCTTTTGTCCATAGAAAACACCAGTTTTGTATGGAGATGCGTACGCATCTGTTCAGCTTTCCGCAGCAAACAGGCATAAAATGAGGACAAGTGTGTTTCTATTATACGCACGCTAACGCCAAAGTTTAGCGCTGTACCACCGCATTCAGTGCTGTACCACCGCATTCAGCGCTGATCCGCCGCGTTCAGTGCTGTTCTACCACTTTCAGCGCTGTTCCGCCGCGTTCAGCGCTGTACGCGGGCTGTTCTCGACGATCAGTTGCGACTTGCATTGGTTGATACATTTGATTCGCAATAATTACATCTATCATTTCAATCAATCATACAATCATCTAGAGAATGAGTAAACAAAAATTATTTTGCTTTTGTAACACGGCGTCCGACGGCAAATTATACACTTTGAATTGGCATTACGAGGGCAGAAGTTGCGGCAGGGGGGGGGATGAGTTACCGTACTTGGTATAATTTGGCTCCGTAAAACTGATTTAGTTTTTTGTTCGTATAATTTCAGAATCTAGTACCTACAATGGTACAATTTTAAACTTAGAATTTTTTTTACATATTTTTGATACTATTTCGGGCAACACTGACTTCTATTCGTTCACCTAGTGTTGTCTTTGTCTGATATTTGCCACAGCTGTATTATTTTGTCTCTTTCGAACGGTTACACAAATAATTTACTGTAACTCCCCACAAATCGTGCTTTAAACTCGCTTAATAACCGCTTTAGCTTTACTACGTCGCGGGGAATTACCGAAACTTATAAATTATTCCCGGCAATGAGTATAAAAGGAACTACGGATTTTTTTTTCTTCATTTATATTTCTCGGAGTCATCGTGCACGTGTAGTGGTGAATGGTAATCGAAATAAAGTTATGAAGCGCAAGTACGAACAGAAATACAAACCTGAGTGGGCACAAAATCCTGAGTATTCGTAATGATTGATAAAGGACAAAAATAGTGATAACGCCTTGTGTAAAGCTTGTGGTACTATATTTTTGAGCAGAATCGTAACAGTTAAAAGTCACGCAGAGTCTGAATAAATTAAAATTAAAAAATTTGTAAAACCGACTTCAATATAAATTATTAAGAATAATTTAAAAACTATTGGTCAGACCTTGATCAAATTTATATGGAACCACATGTGAAGCATCAGCTTTCAAATAAAAAAGAATCATCGAAATCTGTTCACCTGGAAAAAAGTTATGAAGTACCTCCTCCTGTTTGAAGTCGGTAGAAAACATCGGCAGAAACTTATACACTACAGTGGACAATCTAAGGTAAAGAAACAGGATGAAGCTGCGCTGCGTACCATAGGTTTTTTTTTGGCGGTATAAAATTATCTTACCTAATACCTACGTATTATATTATAATATGTGCTAATATCTACTTTTGTAGTTAATTATATAATTTTATCGGTTTTTTATCTAATAGCCTTTCATAAGGTGTGGAAAAGGATTGGTGATATTTTTTGTATGGGGATTGTTTATTGGCTAGAGAGTGACATATGCTACTTTTTAACGCGATGAAGTTTATCATACCCATGGAAAAGACGTGCAACTTACACGCATGGCGCTAGCATCGCTTGACACTAGATGGCGACAGCGTCGCGTGGCTTTAAATGACAGCAGAACACCGAACACCACGCGGACGAAGCCGAAGGCGGAAATTAGTTTTTGTATAATCCAGCATATGTTCTGGTATTATTTAGTACTGGCAACATTATGATTTTAGTTGATCACCTTTTTTTTAAACGGTCACATTGCGCGGGAGTGTCGTGGGTTATTTAGTAACATTAGTAATTAGTAGCCATGAGTCAGTGTGGACGGGTATGCATCGCGCTTTTACAGTTGAGGCGTATTTCGCAAATAATAATTCGGTGAACAAGGTGTCGTTTTTATTCGCAGTTTGATATGCTTAAAATAAAGGATGACACATTGAACTATCTAAAATTATAAAACTATTAAAAAACTACCCTCTCCACAAAAAAGTTATAGTTTAAGAAATATCTACTATAAAGTTAATATAAAATAATGTAAATACAAAAAATGTTTAATATTCTTTCACACAATTTTAAAATAGTACTTTATATTTAGTTTAAGTAAAGGTTAATTTCAATATTATGCAAATAAAAGTATAATGTAAAATAATATATTAGAGCAAACTGTGCAGTGCTAAGACAAACACAATTATGTTTAATGGAAGAAATTATATTGTAATTAAAACTGTTAAATGGTAATCTTAAATAATAATGGTAATCTTAAATTAAAAAATAAAAAAACACAATTAATATGGGCTTGGTTGGAAATGAGCCTTGGTCTGGTCCTAGGTCTGCAATGACTCCTGCAAATGTGAGTCGCGTGCGAGAAGAAATTTTGCAAAATCCACACAAATCTGTTCGTAAGGTGGCAGCGTCTATGGGCATGAAAAAAACGTCTGTTCATAAAATGTAGACGCGCATAAAGTTCCATCCAAATAAAGCTGAACGCACATTTGTCCGCGCCGTACGCGCCGTACGCGCCGAATATTAGAATTCGTTGTATGAAATCATATGAAACTTCGCACATTACACCCGCACCGTACACGCAGAATTTTAAAAAATACGGTAGGTGTACGATATCGCAGGACGAATGCTGATGACGTCATATAACGCGGCGCGTTTGGCTCGTGTTGATGCTCAGTGTTGTCTAATGTTGCCAACTCATTGGATTTTCCACTAAAACTGGTGGTTTCGACTTTTATTTCGAATTATATTTTTTAAGTGTTAAGTGTATACTGCGGTTAGAGGTTGGCAGAAAAATGCTGCATCGAAATTGAAATTCCGATAAACGTTGTGAAATGAATATTTAGTGATAAATTTAGTAAATACATAAAAAAATTGATAGTGAATTTTAATTCAAAAACCCAATTATACCTGACTACAAAAATACTTACCTCAAACTTGCCAAAGACTTGTT